CGGCTCCGTTCCAGTCGTAGGCGCCCACGGCGCCCAGCAGAACCCCGTCCTGGCGTGGAGAGGAACACGTATCGGTCCCTGTCCCTGGGCCCTGCCTGAGCCTGGCCAGGCCCTGCGACCCGAGCGCCGGCCGCCCCCGGCCCCTCCCGGGCCCGTCGTTCAGCCGGTCTTCCGGCCCGTCTCTTGCTTGGGAACGAGCCAAGAAGATCTGCTTGTTTGGAGACGGGACCTCATTCCATCGCCCAGGTTAGAGCGCAGTGGCCCTGCCATGGCTACCACAGCCTCCACCTTCTGGGCTCAGACTATCCTCCTGCCTCAGCCTCCTGAGAAGCTGGGACTACAGGCACGTGCCACCAGGTCCAGCTAATTTTTAAACCTTGTAGAGACAGGGTCTCACTATGTTGCCCAGGCTGGTCTCTGGGCAGCTCCTGTCTTCAAGCATTCCTATGCCTGTCTCCCAAAGTACTGAGATTACAGGTGTGCATTCTTACACTTGGCTAATTCTTGCATTTTTAGTGGAGATGGCTCTTGCTCTGTTATCCAGGCTCTGACGTTGAGCTTTTAAAGGACAAGCAGGCAAAGGCTCCCTCTCTCCCACTGAACCTTCCCTGTTGACTGAGCACCAGGGTCTCAGCGGGGTCTAAAGAGCAAGGTGGACTTTGTCTAAGGGCTTAAGGGCCTGACCCTCCAGAGGCAGAGCTGACTGTTCAGGCGGAACGTTTCTCAGCTATAAGTAGGCTGGTGTTGGAGAGTTCCACTTGGCTACGTTCTAACTAGCCTTCTTCCTCCTGTTCCAGCCTCCGCCTAGGAGGCTCTGACCGCCTGTCAGGGCCAGCAGCAGAGACAGGGACTCAAATGCTCGTTGTCCACAAAGCCGCTGCCAGCTCCCCGCATGGCCGTGCCCCTTCTCTGTGGAGTTCTGTGTCACCCATCCACACATCTGGGCCCATGGAGGCCTGAAGCCGGGAGGACGGGTGTTATCTGCCCTCCGCAGCTGAGGTTCAGAGAGGGAAGGACTTGGCCCAGATCTCACCGCATGTCAGAGGCAGGGCTGGGGCTTCGACCAGACAGGTGGGCAGGACAGAGAACATCCACCTGTCTCCCCAAAACCTGGTGTGGACCTTGCTTCCAATTCCGACCCGGACTTTCTCCAGGGAGGAGAGCACCACGGGGCCCTGCCTGCTGCTTTTCGTCCCTCCCTCCTTCCTTCCTCCTTCCTCCCTCCCACCTTCCTTCCCTCCTTTCTTCCTTCTTACCCTCTTTCCTCCCTCCCTCCCTCCTTCCCTTCCTCCTTCCTTCTTCCTCCCTCCTCTCCTCCCTCCCTCCCTCTCTCCTTTCCTTCCTTCCTTCTCTCCCTCCCTCCACCTGCTGAGTCCTAGTTTATAACTGTAGACCAGGCTTCTTCATGGGGGGCTTTGCGGAGGGCAGGGAGCCTCTGCAGTGTCCTGAGTGGGGCTGGCTGGCTATAGGAGACCCCTCAGGCAACCCTCCCTCCCTCAGTGGGCTTTGGGAATCCTCTTGGGGCGATTGCTCTCTCACCTTAACTATTTGAACCCAGGCCGCAGCTGATGTGCTGGGCCCTCACAGGAGGTCCCTTTCCAGGAGTGGGCTTGTTGAGGCCAGGGAGGCCACCCTGGCACAGGGGACTCCAGGGAGGGGGCAGCAGTGAAGGCCCCCAATGCCAGCCCTGTCTTTTTCCAGATGCGAGAGCCCAGACATTTTGGATTTGGAAAAAATCTGGGAAGGCGGGGCAGAAAAAGATGGCCAAAGCCTTGCCAGGACAGTGGGTGTGTGGGCGCAGCTGGAGACCAACAGCAGCATGCCAGGGGCCGTGGGCCGTGCTCTGAGGCTGGGAGGACCCTGATTTAGGGTCTCCTTTCCCACGGGCTGCAAGGCTCCAGCAGATGTCACAGGGCGTGCCTGGTGGCCCCGTGCAGGTGGGCCCTCCCACAGGCTGGTGTTCCTGGCAACTGTGGATGTGAGGCCAGGGACTTGGCCACTGTCAGAAGGGCTGAGGCCGGGTCCTTGCCCTCCTGAGTACACCCTGGTTCCCTCCTCCCCACATGCGTGTAGCCTCTGCCTCCCAGTCCTGGCTCAGCACTTCACTGACCTCTGACTCAGCCTCTACATTGGTCCTGTTTCCCAGTTAAGCTGAACATGCCCAGGGCCTATGACCAGATTTCCTGATACTCTGGACTCTAGCCAATCCCTCTCCCATGAATAGAGGTAGTGTGGTCCAAGATGGGAGTCCTGCCTGGGGCGGATTTGCCCCCAGGTGATATGTAGCAATGTCTGGAGAGGTTTTGGGTTCCTACAGCTGGGGGTGGGGGCCCAGCTGCCCCTGCCCACAATGCCCAGGGTGGCTCTGCAGAAGGGCCAGCTAGCCCCATGACTGAGCGGCTCACTTTGCCTTCTGGGATTTGATGTCTTGGTCTGTACACTGGTAACAAGGAATCTGCTCTGTCTACCTCACGGAAGTCAGGGAATTCAGTGGGAGGATGGAGTGTCATTTAGCGAGGTAGCGAGGACAGATGAGCAGGCCCTTTCTGGCGAATTGGGAGACCAAGCACATGGCCTGGTATGAGACAGGGAGAATGCACACATGACACACCCACAGGTGCATGTCCAGCTTCCTCTCTAGGTGCTCCTAGGTAAGACTTTACAGTTTATATAGCATTTTCACAGGTACTGGCTCACCTGTCCCTCCAGCAGTCCTGCGAGGCTTCCACCCATCTTATGGACCAGCACAGGTGAGACACACGGGGGTGACACTGAACCCAGACACCACGTGCTGCTTGTGACCTGCCCCCCACCCTCCGTGGGCCAGACCCTCCTGAGACGCCCCCCATTGGAAGCAGCATCTGCTGATGGAACCTGGGAACCACCTGCCGGAGCCCAACTGAGACCTCCAACAACCTCATGGCCCTGGTACACGGACATGACTGGTGTTATCAGAGCCACAGGCCAATGGATTTGCCACCGACCTAGTTGTTGCACGAGGCTCGGAGGACTAAGCCAGACTGCTGGATCTGGGGAACATGCCCCATCGGCACCCTGCACAGTGAGGGGCACCAGCCACCTTCAAGGGGATACGTGGCTTTATGCTCTGTCATCCACACACTTCTGAAGAGGGCTCAGGACAGGATAAGTCAGTGGAAGGCAGTGAATCCCTCACCCAGCCCAGGGGATGAGAGGCAGAGCAGCCCCAGAAAGGACAGGAAGCCAGGTTGAGAGCCCACCTGTCTGTGAAGGTGGGATGACAGACAGGGAGCTGGGTGTAGGGACGCCCATGAGGTACATGGGACTCTGACACTGAGCCTTACCACCTACCTCCACCACGTGTGAGGAGAAGCCTGTCTGTGACATCTCCAGCCCAAAGGAGGTCTCGTTCTTGTTGGTGCCTATGACAGGGACAGAGGGATGTCAGCCCATGTCTTTGATGCCAGACTGGCCTGCTACTCGGCCCACTGCCTGCTTCCTGGGCACCCTCAGAAGTGGGGCGCTCCTTCGCGGGGGCCCTGAGCTGAGGCTGGTCATGTATCAGCCTCCTCCACCCCTGCTGGTTCCCTGAGTGGGGAGGGTACCGCGTGCCTCTCAGGTGGTCATACAACTCTTGTTAGTCACCCCAGCTTCTGAGAGGGGCTTGATTGATGGGACAGGCTGGGATGGTCTTATCAGACTACTAAGTGGGGGAAGCCAGAAAGGGCGTATGGAGGTAAACGGTGCACACACTGCTTTGTGGTTCCTTTTATTCACCAGGTTTGGGTCTAGACGCTTTTGGATGGTTCCCAGACATCACACCGATGCTCAGAGGGAGACCTGTCACCACGGTGGGCTTGTATGAGAATCTCCATGTGTGCCCAGAACCTCCCCCTGCAGAGGGATCCCCCATGGAGCACTGGGACAGGCACACTCAGCACCCAAGGGCCAGTCTGAGGAGAATTACTAGATCTGGGTATATGTGCTCTGGCATGGTGTCAGGTTCATGGTCCTGCTGTGGCATCTAGCCCTGCATATGAGGGCCGCTGGGTCCCCTTTCCTGTGTCTGTAGTGAGTCACTCAACGTACAAGGGTGCAGGGATGCTGCCTTCTGGGCCTTTCTCTGACCTTTTTGTATACCCAGTACCTGCTATTGGGGGGCCCATTAGACAAGATGGTGCCAAGAGCCTGTGCAAATAAAAAATGGTGCTTAAATCACCGTGAGCAAGGCCATTGGAGGGAGCTTGCCAAAAATGGAGTGGGAGGTGGCGGGCAGGCAGGGTTGGGGGCTCAGGCTCTGGCATCAGGCCCAGTTGGGTCCCAACTAGGGTTGCCAAATACAATATGGTGGCCCAGCTACACTTGAATTTGTTTTTATTTATTTACTTCCTTTTTTTGTGTGTCGGAGTCTCACTCTGTCACTCAGGCTGGAGTGCAGTGACACGCTCATGGACACCGCAGCCTCCACCTGCTGGGCTCAGGTGATCCTTCCGCCTCAGCCTTCCAAGTAGCTGAGACTACAGGCGCACGCCACCATGCCTGCCTAAATTTTTTATTTATTGTGCAGACCAAGTCTCGTCAAGTTGCCCAGGCTGGTCTCGAACTGTGCGGCTCAGACAATCCTCCTGCCTCCACCTCCCAAAGTGCTGGGATGACAGGCAGTGAGCTACCGTGCCTGGCCTACATTGAATTTAGACAAACAACAAATAATCTCTTAGTGTAAGTCTGCCACAGATGTTGCATTTTAGTCTTGATAAGTTTGCCAACCCCCTGAACTCCTTCAATCCTCAGTTTTCCCAGCAGACATGAGAATGGCAGCAAAACGGTCTCCCAGAGCTGTTCACAGAGTGCACAGAGCAGCACTCTAGCACTGGTGTTTGTTTATTTTAAATAAAAACATTTATTTATTTGCTTATTTATTTGTTTTTGTTTTTAATCGGGTCTCACTCTATCACCCAGGCTGGATGATCACAGCTCACTGCAACCTTGACCTACTGGGTTCAATTCATCCTTCAACCTCAGCCTCCCAAGTAGCTGGGACTACAGGTGCATGCCAACATGCCTGGCTAATTTTTTTTTTTTTTTTTTTGTAGAGACGAGGTCTTGCTCTGCTGCCTAGGCTGATCTCGAACTCCTGGCCTCAAGTGATCCTCCCTTCTCAGCCTCCCAAAGTGCTGGGATCACAGCTGTGAGCCACGGTGCCCAGCGTGTGTTTACAGGGACTGGTGCCACGCCACTTTGACTCCGTGGCTGGGGCTGGACTGCGCTGTGCAGGGTTTACCCGTTGCAGGCCCGGGAGAGACTTACCCAGCAGGTATGGCTCACCTTCCAGGCTGAAGATCCTGTCCCCCAGCGCGTCGACAATGTCCTTTAGGGCCGCCTCGTCCGTGACGTTGAAGAAGTGCTTGTCGTCCGGGTCGCTGGCGATGTATTTGATTTCATTAAGGAAGGTCTCTGGGTTGATGCCCCTGCGGTTGTAGTAGCCCAGGACCTGCCAGGGACGCGGCAGGGGTGAGGGCGGCGCAGACGCCCCGACGCCCACGGACCTGGCGCCAGCACGGGGCGGATTGAGCCGCGGCTGCTAGACGGCCTTAGACTCTCCCTTGGGGCAAGGCCAGGACCCGGGCTCAGCTGGGCTCTGGGAGTCTGGAGGCCGGGAGTGCTTTCTAGGTTTTTTAGGTTCCAGAATCTCCTGGTGGGAGAGGGA